TCCTCTCCTCTCCTCTCCTCTCCTCTCCTCTCCTCTCCTCTCCTCTCCCTTTTTCTCCTTTCCTCCTCTTAAAAACAATTTTCTCACATCTCTGGTTTCTTCCTTTTCCCATGTTTTCCCTTCTAATTCTGTAATCCTGTGCACTCTGTCCTGCTTTTTCCCATCTCGTTCTCTTCTTCTTCATCATCTTCCTTTCTTGGATTCTGGACTAACTCCTGCAGCATAAACATCCTCAGATGTCCGACTCCATTATTGGGATTTCATAAGGGCTCTGTTAGAGGAAAATCTGTATCTGATCTTTACAGAGTTGCAGCCTCATTCTGTAAAAACTTGATCCACTCCTTGCAAAGACAAACTGACTTCAGAGGGGTAAGATCAAGAATATTTTTGAGTGTGATTGGTAATGAACATTGACTATACTCAGGACTCCTCAGATATACTCAGGGCACGGTAGAATCAGGTCCTTATCTCACTGCATGAAAAGTTTTGGTGCTGCTAAGTGTCACAGCTGGGTAATGTGTAAGCTTGAGGTTTGACACCACACTTCACTACCTGCAAGGGTTCCCTGCCTGGTTGAGACTGGTTTTGAAGCTCAGTAACCACAGAACTGCAAAACTGCTGAGGTAGAAGGGGGCCCCTGGAGATAGTCTGGTCCAACTGCGCTGCTCAGGCAAGGCCACCTACCCCTACACCATGGCCAGATGCCTTTAGAATATTTCCAGGGATGGAGACTCCATTACCTCCCTTACCAACCTGTGCCAGTGCAAATCAGCTTGGGTGGAAAGCTCTTTAGGAATCACAAGTTCAAAATATCTAAGGGACACATTTTTATTACATTCTTTAAAAACTCCCAAATCTATTTTTCCTGTTTCAAAACTAATGACAGTGTTTGTTCCTATCTTGGGGCACATACAGAGATTCCAGATTATCAGCTTTTTCATTATTCTCATTGCTACTCACAGGTCATCACACAGAGAAGTCCTTGCAGTATCAGGTCCTAACAAAGTACATTGTGCACAATCCCCATACAGATATTGTCATCCTGTAGATGTTGTTGAATTGTTGTATTGTTGTCACCATGCAGAAAAGGAACATCACATTTATGTGTGTCACATGTTTTGGCAAACAGCTGCCAGAGACTGCATGTTGAGCTATGTGGACCTTTGACTGGAAACAGCAGAGAAGTCATTTATTTTGGTAAATGCTCAGTGTTATTTCTTGAGGTTTGACTCCAAAATCATTCATATTTGGATAGAAAATGGTGAAAAAGTAGCACTCAGCTATACTGAATGTGAAGATAAAGCATAGAAATTTGACCCCTAGTGCTGTTTATGTCACAATACAGGACCATTCAGGGTATTCA